ATTTGGCTGATGCCACAGCAGACTCTGAAATGCCAAATGGATCTTTGGTGCCCCAGTGCTCAGTGCCCTCTCACGGCTTCCACAGCTTCAGTGTGAGGGGCTGAGCTCTTCAGAGGTCTGGCAGTGCCCTCCAGGACGCAGCAGCCTCCACCCCACTGTGGCCTGTGACCTCTGGGCCTTTCTCCTGCATGTCCAGGAACGCAGTTCCCATTTTCTCCCTTACCCTGCAGGACACCACAGGGTGGGCCAGGCTCCCCACATTTCAAAATACAGCAGGACAGACTTGTGTGGAGGGGTGCGGGTGTGGGGTGACAGGGCCAGGCTCCAGGATGGTAGCCCTGGTATGTTGCTCAAGTTCTGGTTCCATTTCTGCATCTACAAGATGGAGTTGATACCTCAGGGGCCGTTAGGCTAATTAAGGGGGTTGCTATACATAGCCCGCTTAGGACAGCATCCAGCATATTTTGAAGTTTAATAAATGTTACCTATGACCACACTGGATTGGAATTCTGTTTATATGTCTGTTCCCTCAGCTCCCCCACCCCCCACAGAGCACTGTAAGCTAATGTGTGTCTATCTAAATGGAAATGATTTGGGGCTGGAGAGATGGTTCAGTGTTTAAGAGCATTTGTTGCTTTTCCAAGTACTTGGGTCCAATCAGATTCCCAGCACCCGTGTGGCGCCTCGCAGACTGACTTGTCCTGGGGAATCTGACACCCTCTTCTGACCTCTAAGATTACTACACATGTGTGGTGCACAGACACACATGTGAGAAAACACGCTTACGTATAAAAATAAAGGAAAAATTATTTTTAAAAGCTAAATTCAGGTCTTTGGCCACTTTTCCTTTTTTTCTTTGATTTTTGAGACAAGATCTCAGAAGTCTGCAGTTCCAAGTTCGGGCCTGACACTCCAGATCCTGACATAGACTCTTCTCTGTGTGCTGCCATTACACACGTGTGCCAACAGGCCAGGCTCCCTAGCCACATGCATTGGGCACTAAATGGATAACACAGACCAGACCCTTCTTTCCATGGTAGCGGAAGGTTCTAGAGAAACTGTAAAGAACAGCACATCCAGCTTGGGGCATGCCTTTAAGCCCAGCACTCAGAGGCAGGCATGTCTCTGTGAGTTCTGGGACAACCAGAGCTACAGAGTGAGGCCCTGTCTCCAGGAAACAAAAAAAAAAAAAAAAAAAACGAAGAAGAAGAAAGAACACTAGTCCGTGAGCATGAAGTCAGGGAGTTTTTTCCCTTAGTTCTACGTCCCAGTGCCTAAACTAGTGCCTGCCACTCAGAAGACATTGTTAGCTCAGAATCTGACTGCTGTCATCAATGTGTGTGTGTGTGTGTGTGTGTGTGTGTGTGCGTGCTTAAGTGTATCTCTGCGTACTGTGTGCAGAAGAGGGTATTGGGTCCCCTGGAACTAGAGTTATGGGTGGTTGTGAGCTACCATGTAGGTGCTGGCAACAGAACCCAGGGCCTCTGCATAAGCGTAACCTCCTAAACCTCTGGGCCTTCCTCCCCTTCAGCCCCAATTCGCTCATCATTGTATAGGTTTATAAGAAAACCTCAGAGAGAGAGAGAGAGAGAGTAATTTTCGGAAGGTCACATGGTCACCAGGACCGCATCCCTTTAAGTCAACAATCTGTGGCTACTCGGTTCTCTATCGGCCTTTTCGATTAGCCTAATCCACTGGTTCTCTTTTTTGGATATACACTTTCTGCCTCGGTCCGGGTTAGGCTACCACAGTGCCCGCCTTCCATCTAGGTGCCCGCTCCCAGCCCTGGGTGCAGTTCCAGCGCAGAGCTGCCCGCCTGCCCGTCAGCTCCACCTACAGCCAGCTCTGGGCCTCGCTCACGCCTGCCAGCACCCAGCAGGAAATGCGGGCCTTCCCTGCCTTCCTGGGCACTGAGGCCTCCGGCTCAGGTAGGCCACGTGCTGAACACAGAGGGGAGACTGTTTCCTTCCTCAGGGACCTAGCCCTTGGTATCAGTGTCCTCTTCCCCCAGGCAATGGTTCCTGGCTGGAGCTGATACCCTTGGCTGCTGTGAGCGTGCACCTGCTAACAGGCAATGGGACAGAGGTGCCACTCTCGGGCCCCATCCACCTGTCCCTGCCTGTGCCCTCAGAACCTCGGGCCCTTGCTGTGGGCACCAGCATTCCAGCCTGGAGGTTTGACCCCAAGAGCGGTAAGCGTGACCGGCAGGGTGCAAGTGTTGGGGAGGGAACGAGGGGCTTGGGTTGTCGGAACACTGAGTTTGACAAACTCCTCCGGCCTCTCCCAGGGCTGTGGGTACGAAATGGCACTGGCGTGATTAGGAAGGAAGGCCGACAGCTCTACTGGACTTTCGTCTCTCCACAGCTGGGGTACTGGGTAGCTGCCATGGCCTCCCCTACATCTGGTGAGACTGGTGGGGCAGTGGAGGAGAGGCGGGCGGTGGGAGGGGGGCCGGGAGAGCTCGGGCCTTGTGAAGGGCGAGGGCGCCCTAAGCCCATGCCTGGCACAGGGCTGGTTACCATCACCTCAGGCATCCAGGACATCGGCACCTACCACACAATCTTCCTGTTGACCATCCTGGCGGCCCTGGCCTTGCTGGTGCTCATTCTGCTGTGTCTACTCATCTATTACTGCCGGTGAGTGCTTCTGGGGCCCGCCCCGCCAGCCTCCTCTCACCGGACCCCTGCTGCTGTGCTCTGCACAATTCTGACCCTCAGGAAAGAACGGCAATGCAAGAGCTAAGACTCGAGAGACTGGTGGCTTTACAGAAAGGGGTGACAGATAGCTACATCTTCTTTCTACAAACAGCGTCCAGGTGGTCATCTATCGCCCCCACCCCCATCTCTCTTGACCGTTCCCTGCATCCTCTAGTCACCTCACCGCCGTCTTCATCCCCTGTGTTGGCATCTGTGGGGGTTACAGAGATCCTTTTGCTTGCTTTCGACATTCCCGAGGTCCCGTCTCTTCCCTCCTCTCCAGGAGACGCTGCTTGAAGCCAAGACAACAGCACCGCAAGCTGCAGCTCTCCGGCCCCTCGGACAACAAACGTGATCAGGCTACGTCGATGTCTCAACTCCATCTCATCTGCGGGGGACCCCTGGAGCCGACGTCGTCCGGAGACCCCGAGGCCCCGCCCCCGGGCTCCCTCCACTCGGCCTTCTCCAGCTCGCGCGACCTAGCATCCTCCCGGGATGACTTCTTCCGTGCCAAACCGCGCTCCGCCAGCCGACCGGCCGCCGAGCCTCCCGGCGCCCGCAGCGGCGAGGGTGGTGGAGGGCTCAAGAGCGCCCGCTCCGTCGAGGGTCCCGCGGGGCTGGAGCCCAGCCTGGACGAATACCGGCGGGGTCCAGCGGGGGCTGCGGCCTTCCTGCACGAGCCTCCCTCGCCGCCGCCGTCCTTCGACCACTACTTGGGCCACAAGGGGGCGGCCGAGAGCAAGACCCCCGACTTCCTGCTGTCGCAGTCCGTGGACCAGCTGGCGCGGCCGCCGTCCCTGAGCCAGCCGGGCCAGCTCATCTTCTGCGGCTCCATCGACCACCTCAAGGACACCGTGTACCGCAACGTCATGCCCACCCTGGTGATCCCCGCACACTACGTGCGCCTGGGCGGCGAGGCGGGGGCCGCGGGCGTGGGCGACGAGGCCACCCCGCCGGAGGGCCCGGCCGCCGGCGCCGCACGCCCCTTCCCTCAGCCCGACCCCCAGCGCCCTCTGATGCAGGGCCACGCGGGGGCGGGGGGCGACGGCGGGGGCGGCGAGGGCTGGGGCGGCGGGCGCTCGGCCCCGGTCAGCGGCTCGGTCACCATCCCGGTGCTGTTCAACGAGTCCACCATGGCGCAGCTCAACGGCGAGCTGCAGGCGCTGACCGAGAAGAAGCTGCTGGAACTGGGCGTGAAGCCTCACCCGCGCGCCTGGTTCGTGTCCCTGGACGGCCGTTCCAACTCGCAAGTGCGCCACTCCTACATCGACCTGCAGGCGGGCGGCGGGGGCCGCAGCACGGACGCCAGCCTGGACTCGGGCGTCGACGTGCACGAGGCCCGGCCCGCGCGCCGCCGGCCCCCGAGGGAGGAGCGGGAGCGCGCGCCGCCGCCCGCGCCGCCGCCGCCGCCCGCGCCCCCGCGCCTGGCGCTCAGCGAGGACACGGAGCCCAGCAGCAGCGAGAGCCGCACGGGCCTCTGCTCGCCCGAGGACAACTCGCTAACGCCCCTGCTGGACGAGGTGGTGGCGCCCGAGGGCCGGGCCGCCACGGTACCCCGGGGTCGGGGCCGCAGCCGTGGGGACAGTTCCCGCAGCAGCGCCAGCGAGCTGCGGCGCGACTCGCTCACCAGCCCGGAAGACGAGCTGGGGGCGGAGGTGGGCGACGAGGCCGGCGACAAGAAGAGCCCTTGGCAGCGGCGAGAGGAGCGGCCGCTGATGGTGTTCAACGTCAAGTAGCGAGGCCCCGGGGGTGGGGGTGGGGTGGGGGTCTGCCGCTCCCCCCCCCCCCCAGTGCGGGTTCCCGGAGCGCGCGTGCGCCCCGGGGAGCGCTGCGGTGGTGGTGCGCGCGTGCGCCCTTAGCCAGTAGAAGGGCTCAGGGGCCTGCTGAGCTCATCGGTGGTCTGTGCAGGGCGAGTGTCTTGGGAAGGGACCCAGGGTCGGCCTCGGAGCAGGGGGAGGTGGGAGGGGTCCGGTCCCCCCGCCCCCCGTGGAAGGGGCTGGGGAGGAGGGCCGGGGTGGGTGAGCGGTGCCTGTACATAGGAAGGTCTATTGAGGGAAGAGCAGAGGGGCGACCCGGCCTCAGCTGCTAGGGTGAGGGCTGGGAAGGGAGGGGCAGGCTCTGTGGAGCCGTGGGGAGGGGAGGGGTGCTGCTTGGATGTCACAGGGCTGGTGGCTATGGCGGTCCTGGGGGTGATGTGATGGTGACTCTGGACGACAAAAAAATACAAAGCTGGTGAGGTTAATACCTGTCATGTGTGTGTTTCCATGGGGTGTGTTGTCGCCCGCGCACCAAATCAGACATTGCTCGGAAAGTGTACAAACTTTATTGGAGCACACACAAACACTCGCGCACGCGCGCACACACACACACACACAAGCAAGCTCACATGATACCTGTGGGTCGGGAAGAGCACCTGGCCACAAGGTCCACAGAAATCGGAAGAAACGGCAGTTTGAAACGGGGCCTTTTGCCACAGCCTTCTTCGCACAAAAGAAGGTCTTTCATTTGAGGCCCCACCTCCTACGGTGGCGGGGCGACTCGCAAGTTGTAGGTCAGGGGAACTCTAAGGAGAGAAGTGCTAGGGTGGCCTGAGTGGTGGATAACCCTCTGAACAGGAGGGTCCCTAGGGCTGTGGAGTTCTTCAGTCTGTAGCCCTTCCTTACAGCTGCGGTCTTGGCGCTGGGTCCCTCAAAAACATGTCCCAGCGAGGGGCCTTCTTCCGAAGACACTTGGTTCCCTTGGCTGAACAGTGGAAGCCAAGGGGGCAGCAGTGACGCCCATCTGCACAGCAGATGCCCTGGATGGTCGAGGGAGAGTGAGTGTTGGACAAGGCCGAACTCAGCCCATGGCCGGCCACGCCCAGCCCCAGGGTGGGGGATAAGCACTGACCTTGAGGTAGGGACAGCAGGCCCAGCCTCCTTGGCGATCTCTGCAGCAGGTCTGGTTGTCGTGACAGAAGTGCCCTGCCCCGCACTGCACATCCCCGGCCTTGGGGCCGGAGGTCAGGTGTGTGGAAGCCTGGCCGGGGTGCACGTCCTTCTCGCAGGTCCTCGCCTTCACATTGCAGGTGTATCCAGCTGGGCAGCAATGCTGGCGATCCTCACAGCACACGGCCTGCGGGTGACGGGCTGCCATCATGCGCCTGTCCCGGGTACTCGGCTCCCTTCTCCCGGGGCGGCGGCGGGCGGGCGGGCGGGCGGGGACTCACGTGGGGCAACTGGCAGCAGGCCCAGCCTCCCCTCAGGCTTGGGCAGCACGTCTGTCCTACTGGGCAGCTGGTGTGCTGGTCACAACCGATATCTCTAATTTGGAACGGGGATGCCTGGCGGGCGGGCAGCCTCTCCAGGCCAGCCACCATGGTGTCCCCCTTCTGACAGTACCCCTCAGGGGTACAGGTGAAACCCTGGGGGCAGCAGTGTTGGTGGTCTGAGCAGCAGACAGCCTAGGGGTGGGCAGAGAAGACCGTTCCTACAGAGGGACTGCGGGAGTCCGCCTCTCCCCAGAACTCCTCCGGCTGGGGACAAATCACAGCCCTGGGTGCCACCCCAGGCTAGGCAGAGTGCGAAAGAATGAGGCAACGGGCCTCTTGCCCCCCCCCTGTTTCGTCCCTCCCCATGGACCTACCTCTGGGATAGGACAACAGCCCCAGCCCCCAGAGCTGCGCCTGCAGCACGTATTGTCAGGAGGGCAGCTAGTGAAGTCATCACAGGGGACGTCACTCTTCAGAACTCGAGGGTCCGGCAGGCTGAGGGGGGGCGTGACCTTCTTCATCCAGGGTACCCGGAGGACTCCCATTTCGCAGGTCCCTGTCTCTGTGTGACAGAGAAACCCTGCCGGGCAGCAGTGGATATGATCCTTACAACACACAGCCTGAGGTGGACGGAGAGAGGCCAGTAAGAACTGGGGCCAAGCTGCTGCCCCCCCTCTGCTTGGGCCCGTATGTCCACAGCTCGCAGGTACCTCGGCAAATGGACAGCAACCCCAGGCCCCGGTGCTGAGGCGGCAGCAGGTGTATCCGTCTGGGCAGCTCACCTCCGCATCACACTTCACCTCCCTCACTGTGAGGTAGGCAGAAGTCATCGGAGGCACTGGAGAATGGAGCATGGAGATGTCTCAACCCACTGGCCAGGCCAGTGTGGAGGGGCCACACCTACAGGTCCCTCCATGCAGCCACCAACACCCACCCACCCGCCCACCAGAAACCCATACCAGAACTGAGCAGAGGCCCTTTTTCCGGAGCCAGCCGGTCCCTGTACCTGGGTATCCGGGCAGCTTGGTCAGGAGGTCCGTGCTGTTGCCCTTGGACAGGCACTTACTCTGAATCAGGTCACATACAGTGTCCTCTGGGCAGCAGTGCAGGTGGTCGGCGCAGCAGATGGCCTAGGTTGGGACAAGCGTGGTCGCTGGTGAGCATGGGGAGCAAGCCAGGCTGATGACGGACATTGCTCCGATTCCCCACTAGGGGGCAGCATGCGCCTTGAGGCTCCCAGCGACCAGCCCACGGGAGGACCCATGTAAGGATATGTGGGCCCAGCTAGCTCCAGCCCCTCACTCACATTGGGCATCGGACAGCAACCGTACTTCCCCGAGGGCAGCTCACAGCAGGTAGAATCATCAGGGCACTGGGTCTGTGCATCTGGGCACACCACGGACAACGACAAAGCCACTGAAAGAGGGGCGGGGTGTGAGGGATGGAGGGGAACTTCTTCCCCCTGCCAAGAGTTCCACGCAGCTGGCTGGGTAGCTTCCCGCCTCCTCACCTGCCCTGTTGGTCCTCCGTGCGGGGAACTTCACTAACAGGGGATGGGTGCCCGTGGGTGAAATGCATCGTGTGTGAACCAGGTCACAGGAGGCCCCGTGGGGACAGCAATGCACCCTGTCACTACAGCAAGAGGCCTGAGGAGAGAGAGATGGCCCTAAATTCATCTCTGTCAGCCCCAGCTCCCAGCTTTGTGCCCCCGGCTCCTCTAGCTGCCACCATTTCCCCACGCCTGTACCTGCGGCATGGGACAGCAGCCCCAGGAGCCATCAACCATAATGCAGCAGGTAGAGGAGTCCGGGCATTCGAATTGGCTACCGGGGCAAAGGACAGCACCCACGAGGTTATCTGCAGATGGGAGAATCCAGGATTGCACACATCTGGTCAGCAAAGGTCACTCCAGGCAGCAGGAAGTCTAACGGTACCTGCGTGCCCCAAGCCACCCTTCCCGAAAGCTGGCCCCTACTGCAGAAGGGTGACAAAGGCACCCAGTGAAAGGGGGCTGGCATTGAATCACTCCCGCATGGTCTCGCCATGTCCCACAACGCCTGGTGTTCTGTACCCTTGTCTGTCCCCTTCTACTCCCAGAGGTGGCCCTCCGTTCAGGAACCAGGGCCACCAGGGCAGTTGGGTTCCTGGGCACCTCAGGTAGCAAAGGACGCCCACCTGCCTGTCGCTCCCCGCCCGCCCCCATCCCCCGTGCAGCACCACACCTGATCTTCGGGAGCAGGATTTCCCATCCGCACTACAGAGGAAGCCTTGGGGGCAGCAGTGGTGGCTGTCACTGCAAGATACACCCTAAGGGACATGGAGAGGCCTGGGTGAGCAGGACCCTTTTGCCCGGGACTAGAAGAGTGATCAGGAAAGGGGTGGGCGCAGATCTTAATTTAAGCAGCCCCTTCCCCAGGCCAATGGCGCCCTCACGTTAGGGAAGGCACAGCAACGGGAAGTCCCAGACATGGTGAGGACACAAGAGTAGTCCGGAGCACAGTGGCCGTGGTTCTGGCAGGAGCTGCTCAGGCGACGGCTCGGTATCTTAAGCAACATCTCCTGGAAAGAGAAGGTGACATAGACCAAAGGACCCGTGCCAGAGCTCGTCTGGCCAAAGCAAGGTAGCCAGCCCTTCAGAAGACCCGGGCTGCCAGCTGGGGCGTGAGACGCTCACCAGAATTGAGTTGCAGCAGCTGTAGTTGGCTCCTCCCGGGTCCGGGCAGCAGGCGACAGGGCAGAATTGACCATCTGGACACTGTGTTCCAGCCACCAGCCCTGCCACTAAGGCCAGCCAGCTCGCCAGGATCCACATGATCTGCCTGCAAATGCCAAAAAGAGTTTGGCAGCCATCTTAAGCCCAGGCCGCCTCTTATTCTAAGGCCCCCGAACTCCTCCATGCCCAGGTCACGGCATGGCGTGCCTTCTCCTCAACGAGTGAACAGGAAAGCACGGCAATGTGCCGCCTAAGTCAGCGTCTGACCCGTGCGCGCCTCACATCCCGACAGCTTGCACACACTGTGAGAGTGAACGCTGTCGGGTATGTAAGTGCCGATCAATTCTAAGTCCTCACACCTGCGACTCCGGGTGAGTGGAGGAGAGCAGAGTTGGCGCCATCAGGGACAACACTAACTGGCAGGCAGAGGAGGCCTCAGGAGCCACAGGAGGACAGCCAGCCCAGTGCTTAACTCCCACCCGAACCTTTTCAGGGCCTTGGGTGACTGATGAAACAGTCATCAGCCACGTGATCAGATGGGAACCCAAGGGGTTGAGAAAGTTGTGAAAACAGAAGTACTGGGCTGCCTTCCCCACAGGCTAGCCACTGCGCGCCCACAACTGTCCCCTCCCCACCCGGGGGTGGGGTGGGGACAACAGAGGCTGGGCAGCCTCAAAGCCAGCTTCATGATGAGCCCTCTCCAACATCACCTGAGCCCTCTCGGGCTCATCAAACATACCGCCCGTCTCTCCCTTCTCAGAAATCGAAACTCAGCGGCCAGTGGGAAGACCTCGTCCCTAGACTGCTTCGCTGCCCATAGGCCTCAGTGGGAGGAACTGAACCTCTCACTTCCCTAATTAGCCTTTTTTTCCCAGCTCAGCTGGCCTACCCGGCAACCCAGAATAACTACTTTATCTGAGGCAGCAAACCCAGCAATGTTCAAATACCCTCTAGGGAGCCACTTCCTCTCCCCCTACTTTATTTCTCTGCAACGCCTATGCAAATTGGTAGTTATAATATTACTTTCACTTTCCAAATTCACGCCCAAGTATCAGGTCAGGGAAAACAGATCCAGGATATTGGACCTGGGTTGGTCCCCAACTGGTGTCCCTGGACACTGCCAGAGGTCCAAACAGAGGGGTGGCGGAGAGCATTCCCGGCCGGGTGACCCATGCAGGGTAGAAACAGGTGGGTAGGGGGGCTGCATAGAATCTGCTTTTAATCCTGGAAGTGCCGCCTGGACTGATTGCTGAGGGCCTCAGGGTTTGCTCCCCTGGTCTCGACTCATCAATCTCTGTGTGAACGCCAATGGCCAACGGAAGGCAGGAAATCCCGCCCACGCACGGCAGGCATGCCTTTGATCCCAGCATTTGGGAGGCTGAGGTAGGAGGACTGTAAGTTCCAGCCAACTTGGGCTGCAGGGTGAATCTGAGGCCAGCCCGGGCTAAAAAGAAGGATGTCTCCCCCCTACCCTTTCTTTCTCCAGGAAGGAAATGCCCTTTCCCCTAAATCAAACTGCATCCCGGAGGCCATCTCCGAGCCAGATTAGGACTGGGTAGGAGAGACCCAGTACCAATCATTAGGGCTTAGGAGTGGCGAGCCACCGGCCACCTCTACACGGCACCCTGTTGACACAGCCAGGGAGGACAGGAGCCTCTGAGGGCCCTAGCTCGGAAATCTTCCACTAGGTGGCACCCCCAACTCTGAGTGTCAAGGGGAGATGGATTTCCCAAAAGGTGAGCCAATCCAGATGAGAAGGAGCAGAGAAAAGTGGCGGGGAGAGGCGGAAGTTAGCTCTAGCCCTCAAGAAAGGAAGTAAGGCTGTCACAACTCAGGGATTCGGCCATCACGCCCAGGTCTTCTCTCAACCCATCGGAGCCCCGGGAACGATGGCGGGGGGTCTCCCACACGCTGCAAGCCGCTGCGGAGAGCCCCTCGCAGCACCAGAAAGAGAGAAGAGCGCCGGGAACCGGAGACAGGTGGGAGGCACAGAGAGAAGCTGGCCCAAGAGTGGGGAGGTTCCTGCTCCGGAGAAAGGCCTGCAGCCTTCCGACACACTGGGCAAGAGGGGCCTCCCATTAGGGTCCTCAGGAACAACTGCTCCCACCCCTCCCAAAACAAAAGACACCCCCCCCAAAAAAAAACAAAACAACCCAACAACCTCGTTAGTGCATCAGAAACCCCGGGGAGTTTCAAGAGGCAGGTCTCTTGTCTCTAAACTGAGACTCCACAGGACCCCCAATTGCACAGCACACCCCCTGGCCAGACCTTTGGACAGCAGTCAGGGAGACGTCTGCCACGGGTCCTCTACCTGCGTCGGGGTCCGCTCTCCCGGGGAAGCATCTGGCCGTCAGCTCCTGGACTTGGGCTTGGCCGCGCAGTGGCCCGCCCACCTCAGTTTCCATTAGCCACGGGTCGGAGATCCAGGGCTTCCATTGGTTACTTGTCTGCGTAGAGGCGGGACTCTCCTGGAATGCTGTGTTTCTTTTCTACTCAAATCACAACCCTCCTCCCTTTCCTCTCTCTCCCCACACCCCATTTCTAGGGATCATGTGATTAGAGAATCATATGACACCATAGCCCGCCTCCCCCAAGGCAGCGCCTTGCTGGTTCGGTTGCTTTTTCCCCCCGGGCCCTGGCGGCGCCTGGCAGGGTGTTCTAGAGATGGGGCACCACGTGCCTGAGGCCGCCGGCAGTTAAAGAGAGCTGCCCCGAGGGCGCGCGTTCAAGGTCGTTTACCGGAGAGCATCCTCTTCTGGATCGCGACCTGTCTGCATTCTCTGTTTTCTCCCGCTAGGCAGCTAGGACTGGAAACAAGTGGAAAGGTGGCTGTGAGGGTGAAGAGAAACAGTTCCCAGCTTTGAGAGGGGAGAGCGGCTTAGACCAGATCTAGTGAAGGTTCAAGGGCGAGGCCAAGCACTGTAGATGTTACGGGAGGAGGCACGACGAGATTGGCTCGGGGTAAGGGGAGAAGAGGTTGAAGTCCAGCTTGATAGCTCTGCGTTGAGCTGAATCTGGACGAATTTTAGGAGGCTTTTGAGGCGGGACAGAGTTACTTGAAGCGGGATGGGCAGTACAGCCTCCAGCAAGGGCAGAAAGCCACGCTCAAGGTAAGGGCATTGGGCGTGAGCTGAGAGTGTGGCGTGGAAGGGGCTTCCGTTGTGTCAGCTGTTCCCACCTTCGAGGAACTGTCACGGTGGGTGAATAGAGAAATTTTAGCAGTAGAACAGATTAGCCAGAAACAAGAGCCAGACTGCTGAGTGCCAAAGGGCCTGGGCCAGACAGAAATGGGTGGTTGAAGATGGGCCAAGAGAAGGACAGGTTCTAGGAAAGCCCAAGGCCGGGCCTCAGAGGAAAAGCTGTGTTTGCTTTCAGAGTGTTAAGCTAGGTCCCGTAGGAGGAGCAGAGAGCTTATCTGGGAGGCCGGCCAGGGCCATGGGGACAGCCATCTAAGAGCAGGACAGGTGGGCGTCTTGCATAGAAAGGAGTGGCTGAGTTGTGGAATTCCGTGGTGGTGGGCTTCTTAACCCTGGAAGCGACAGGAGCCCCAGAAAATGAGCGGGACTGATTTGGATTAGCTCAGTTCTGCAGCCTGGCGGCATTCACACAGAGTTAGTGCTCCATGGCATTAGTGAAGGTATCCCCCAAAACAGACTGTAGTTTGTGCTTCCACTGAGACAGAGCCATGCTGGGGAGGATGAGGTAGGGGGTTTGCTTAACCGCCAGGGGTTGGAATCCAGAAACAGCTCGCTCGCTCTCCTCTCCTCTCTCTCTGAGTCAGGGTTCTGACTTGGTACTTAGCTGAGGATGGCCCCAAACTTCTCATTTTCCGCCCCCACCTCCCAGCTCCTGGGATTAGAAGATCAAGTCACGATGCTTGGTTTCTGTGGTGCTGGGATTAAACCTCAGGCCCTGTGCATGCTACCAACAGAGCTGCCAACAGAAGAAAGAAAGAATTGGGGTGTGGGGAGGAAGAGGGGCTAGCAAGCCCCTCTCAGTTACTGCCGAACCTGGCAGCCTGAGCCGGATCCCTGTGACTCACATGGTGAAAAAGACTATTAATGGCTCCCAGAAACCGTCCTCTAACTTCTGCCCATAGCATGAGTGTGCCCACAGACTTGTGTACTTGTGCCCACCCGAAATAAACAAAGATACACAAAACAGATCTATAGATTAATGGTCATACTCTTGCCTGCCATGAGAGGTTCTGGTTTCGATCTGAAGGAGGAAGGGAGAGAGAAAGAGGAAGAGGCTCACATATGTCAGAGGACAATTTTTTGCCAGGCAATCTCTCTATCCAGCTTGTTTTGCTTATGTTTTCATTCTTTTTCTACCCTTTCTGTTGTGGTTTTTCGAGGCAGGGTTTCTCTGTGTAGCCCTGGCTGTCCTGGATTCACTTTGTAGACCAGGCTGGCCTCAACTCATAGAAATCCACCTGCCTCTGCCTCTCAGAATTCTGGGATCGCAGGCAGACCACACCCAGCTTTGTTTTTCAAGATAGATTTTTCTCTTTCTGTAGCCTTGGCCATCCTGGACTGTCTTTGTAGGCCAGCCTGGCCTCCAACTCACAGAGATCGGCCTCCCTCTGACTCCCTGAGTGCTGGGATTAAAGACGTACACCACCACACCCGGCTCATCTATCTTGTTTTTAAGGCAGGGTCTCTCATTGCTTTTGCCTCTGTGCTGTGTGCTTCATGCTACCTGGCCCTTAAGCTTCCAAATGATTTTTTCAGTCAGCCTCCCACTTTGCCGTAGGAGATCAGCCTTTTAAATTGTTTTTACCTTTTGTTTTAAGATGGAGTCTCCCTAACCTTCCCAGGCTAGCCTTGAGCTCACGGTGTAGCCCAGATAGGCCTTGGATTTGGACTCTTCCTGCTTCATCTCCAGAGTAGCTGGGATTATAAACATGGACCAACAGGCTCTGCCTCACCCAGCCATTCACCCCCCACACCTTTTATTGAGACAGAGTCTGTCTGGCCTCAAACTCCCTAAGTTCAAGGCCAGCTCAAGTTCAAGGCCAGTTCAGGCTGGCCTTGAACTTACTGACCTTGATCCTGGTGCCTCGACTTAGGTGCTGGGACTTGAGATTCCAGCCAATGTATCCAGCTTGCCCTCTTTTCAGAGAATATTTTAGAACTTACATTGTTTTTGTAACCTTTGTAAAAATATTTTTAAAAACCTTATATGTCTGTCTGTCTGTCTGCCTGTATGCCTGTATGCCTGCATGAACTTATATGCACCATGTGTGTGCAGGAGCCTTTGGAGGCCAGAGGGCACTGGATCCCTGGAACTGGAGTTTCAGCCTGATGTGAGTGCTGCAAACCAAACTCCATCCTCTGCAAGAGCAATGAGTGCTCCTAACAGCTGAGCTGCCTGTCTCTCTAGCCCTAGAACTTACACTGGTTTTGTAAGTGCTTGTGGAAAATGGAAAATTATATTCTGGGGTTACTAAAAACCCATTTTTTAATAAATAACGTAGAATGGACTAGAAATATTGCTAAAGTGCAGAATTATGGGAGTGTTGTGTAGCTATTTCCCCTGAACTGAAACATCAGGGAGAGAAAGCTCATAAGACTTGAGAAGTAAATAAACACAGACTGATGCCCAGGGAGAAAAGTCAACTTACAGTAAAGGCCCGGGAAACTCCTAAAAGTCACAAGATTCACAGGGTTCCTTCCCAAGATCACGTCACCAGGGAGCTCTAGAGATACAGCTTTTCTGAGGTGTCTCTAATGCTGGGGTAGCCTTTCTGGCGATACATCTGTCTTTGAGTCATCTCCACTCTTGTAAGTAACCCCATTAAACTCGGGTGTTCACTAAGCCAAAATGGGATGTTTCTGGTCCCACATCAGTGTCCTGTCAGGAGTGAACAGCCATTTGTTCAAGTCTCAAGTGTCACATAACATATGAAGAGAGTGCTTTAAAACGTGATGCATTTAACTTGGTGCTAGAGAACTCATGTACGGGTCCCAGGAAGCTCAGTTCCTGTGAAGCCACCCCTTGTGCCACAGCAGAACCTCATCCAGGTGCTTCCTCAACGTGTCAGTGAGCAGCCTGAGAGCAGCCCCTTGTGACTGTCGGCTCCTCACATCCTCTGTGAGGACGGCTTCCCTTTCCAGGGGACACACAAGGGTTGGCGATTGCTGTTCGTCACAGCAGCTGGTCCCTCCTAGGCCTCAGTCGTTAACTGATGGACATGAGGGTTGTGTTGGCTCTTTTGAACAGCACGGCTGTGAGTATTTGTGTGTGTGTCCTGTTTGCAGTCCTCTTCCATAACATTGAGGTCACATAGTAATTCTGGGTTGAACCCCTTGAATGTTTCTCAGATGCGGCTGTGCCATTTTGTATTCCCACCAGCAACAAACATAGGAGGATTTCAATCTTCTTCGTCCTCACCAGCTTTTTTTTTTTTTTTTCAAACAGGTCTGACTGTGTTGGCTTTTGTCTTCCCTTCTGTAGACCAGCCTTGCCTCAAATTCACAGAGATCCACCTGCCTCTGCTTCACATGTGCTGGGATTAAAGGGATGTGGCCACCTGCTCAACTTTCCCTAATCCTTTGATAAATCATCAGTCACCCAGAGAACCAGTAGACAGCCATTTTGGCCAGACTGGCTTGCCAGGAGGACCCTGGTATACACCTGTCTCCTCTCCCTCCCTCCCTGCCTCTGGTGTGCACTCACTCAGCAAGCTCTTAACCCTCTGAGCCATCTCTCTGGCCTTTGAACTTTAAAAAAAGAAATGTAATAGTGCCGGGGGATGTTGGACAACTGTTCTGAGTCACATCTCCAGCCCCCATCTTAAATGAGTGGGCTGTGCGGCTCAAGACCAGGGAAAGCTAATGGTAGAGGGAAAATTCAGGCCCCTCTTTTTGAATGATTCCGGCCTTCCACGGAGTAGGGGAGGCCCCACTCTCATGATGAAACCGCTGACCTAAATTTAATGTCCTTCAAGACGCACATCGAGGGACACACACAGTTAACCACCACGTCACCCTTTGCTGTGTGTTCTCTCGCATTTTCTCTTCTAGTGGACAATCTGCTTCTATATTCTGGGTATTACAGAATTTGCAGACGTTGCCTTCCAGCCTGTCACTTGTGTTTCTGTGGCATTACGTCATCTGAAATCTATTGATCAGCTTTTCCTTTTGTGGCTTCTCTCCCCCCCCCCCCAACTTGCCTGGTCAGAATCATTTTTAACACATCCTGACCATTTCCAGCTGGATGCCCGGAGGCCAGACCTATGCTGGAGTGAGGCCGCACCACTTCCAGGATAATCCTGCTTTGGATGATGGAAGGAAGCGTAGGTGTCCCCAGTAAAGTGACACCCCCTCCTCTCTGCCTCCTGTAGGCCAGCCCAGGACAGCCTT